CCTTCCCTTCCTGGTATCGCCACTTTTGCTACCATTGTTTTAAAGAAATTCTGTTCACTTGTGAATTTAAATAATTTAACTTTTAACAATATTTGTATTTGACAAGTGGCTCACAGTGATCCTGAAGCTATAACCACGGAGCCACTGGCTCTAGCACACCACTCCCTGTCTGTTCCCCAGGGCAGGCCCTGTTCCCTCCACTGTTACACTAGCTGTGTGCGCTGGGCCTGGTTCTGGGCCCCGCCACGAAGTGAGCCTGCCCACTAGCCCAGTGGGGAGGGTCATGGCAGCCCCTGCCCAGGGGCCTTTCCCAGACTTAGAGGTGGCACAGTGCCTGGCAGAGTGCAGGGGCTGGGGTCAGTGGGGGCTCGCCCGACCTGCGCCAGGGAGCAGCAGCTGCTCCTGAGGGCAGACACCTGCCTAGCACAGCAACGTGTCCTCCCCAGCTGGTCACAGGGCTGGAAATTCCCACTGGTGGGCCTGTTGTGTCTCTCAGACACACTGGGACATGCCCCCTATACCACCCCAGTCCAGACCTGTGGGCAGCATGTGGCCACAGTATGCATCCAGGCTGGGATAGGTCCCTCTGTCTCCCTACCTGGGCTGCACAGAACTGCCATACCAGGTCAACACCTGGGGTCTGCCTTGTTCTTTTCTCTCCCACTCTCTGTCAGATTGGGGGCCTCTGGGACCTGGTTTTTGTCCTCTGCCCTGGAGTAATCATTGGCCCTCCACCCCCACCCTGAGGCAGGGGTCACACCAGCTCACCCCCAGACCCCGGGTTGTGCAGGGCACTCACTGATGAGGGCTGAGGTCGTGTCCAGCTTGGGGTCGTACGGACACTTGCCCTTCCCTGACTCGAGTCTCTCAGGCTCCAGGTAGAAGATATAATCCTGCAGGGCAGAGCGGGGCTCAGCACCATCCCAGCTGGTCCTACAGCCAGGAAGGATAGGTGGCAGCCTGTAGGGACATCCTGAGGGGCCCCCCAGCACCACCCTCCCGTATCTCCTTGAGCTGGAACACCAACCAGCCAGGAGATGTCAAGATCAGTTGGGGGTGGGTGGGGGGTGCTCTCCCTCGGGGATGAGAGTGGCATAATGTTAGGATGAGGCCTCTCTGTGCCACTGGCCCAGGAGTCTCTGCCCAGGACCACAAACGTGGGCAAGGAGGTCCAGAGACCCGATGGACGCAGGGCATTGACTGAGGGCCTGGGGTGCCAGTCACTGTGTCCCCAGGCTTTATACCCTACCTGTGGGTCTCAGAGATGACCAGTAGGCTGTGGCTTTTCCCTGCCCCCTGGAAGAGCCCCCAGCTGCACAGGTCTCCCCAGGGTGTCACGAGTTGAGGGGGCTCTATCCTGGGCCACACAGACCACACCAAGTGTCCCGTGCCACCCAGCCTAGCCCTGAAGATGCTGGGCGGGAGGCTGCTGACATCGGCAGGGGGGGTCAGGATGAGCTCACGGTGGGGGGGGGGGCAAGGACAAGGGTGGAGAGAGGCGGAGGTGGCAGCAGGCGGCAGGGATGGGTGGGAAAGGGCGCTCTGCAAACAGAGGGGCTGCAAGCACACTCAGCACACACTAGGGCAGCACTCAGAACCACCGCTCACGCCAGACACACACGCCCCGCCTGGGCTCACTCACTCCACTCGGCAGCACGCCTGGCACCTCCACTGGCTCAGCACTCACTGGCAGCCCCTGTCCGCTGCCCGCCCCTGCCCAGCCCCAGAGACACCTCTGTCCCTCCCAGCCCAGGGGAAGAGGGCCTGTGCCCACTGAGCGATCCTTATGGGCACCTGAGAGTGGTGTGTCCAGCTGGGTGCACAGGCCATGGGCACACATGGGCACCCAAGCCAGGTGTGGCCTTGAGAGCCCTCGTGTGTGCTCATCTGTCTCCCCAAAGGGCCTGGGAGGTGTGGATCAGAGCCTCCCCACCTGATGGCTCCAAGACACCCTGCCCACAGGGCTCACACGGAGGACCCCCCTGCCCCCAAGCCTGGGGGATGGGGAGGTACCCAGCAGGGAATGCTTCCTGAGCCCGGAGCCCTGCAGGGGGAAAGACCTTGAGAAGCTGGCCCCTGTGCACATTCCTGGTGGACCAGGGGCCCAGGGTGAGTGCAGCTCAGGCAGGGCCCCCTGGAAAGACCTGGAGGGATGAGGCCCACCTGGCGTGGGGCTTTGGGTGTCGGGCGGAGGGCACCATCTGTGGCTCGGCTGCCGCGGCCTCTCCCCACCTGCATCTGGGTCCACGGCGAGGCCTAGGAGATGAGGAACAGGAGTTCAAGCTGTCGGGGCGGGGGCTGGGGGAGCGGGCCCGGGCTGCCAGCCTCTCACACCACACACAACAGGCACACGCATATGCACGCACATGTGCACATGCGCACATAGGCTCGCACACCTGCACACTCAGCTGTCCATCCAGTCCTCTCCCACGTGCCCCGTGGGTGGCACTACCTTGCAAGCATGCTCACGTGGAAACAGAAAAGGGCAGAAGCAGGCAGGGTAGGTAGGGCAGAGCTGGGTGGAGGCAGCTCCCCAGCTTCCTGGACCCAGGGGGGGAAGGTGGCTCTCCCCAGGCCACGGGGTGGAAGCTGACCCAGACTCCTGACACTGGAGCCCGGCCAGGCCCTCTGACCTGGCTGCAGAGAACTGCGGGGTGAGTGCCCAGTGCGTGCCAGACACGGGGCTGAGAGCTTGGGAGTCCTCTCACACGGACCTGTGAGAAAGGCCCCACTTTCAGGTGAGCCCTCGGAGAGGCAGACAGGTGAGTCAAGTCACCTGCCCAAGGCCCCCAGGCTGGGAAGGGGCAGGACTGGGGTTCAAGTCTACCTTCCCTCTGGTCTCCCAGTCAGCAGGGGGCCAGGTGGGCGAGTCTTACCTGGGCCCGCCGGCCTCGGTTCACATAGGTGCACATGGGGTTGTAGGCGCCCGTCCCACACACATACAGGTGTGTTCGGTTCCAAGGCTGAATGAGCCTGACGAAGTTCCCGCACTCGCCCTGGGACCAGAGGGAGAGCTGTGGGGGTGGCCAGGTGCCTGCTGGACCACGGCCGGCCCTGGGCCTGGGGTCACCTGGGCCCAGCCCCTCCTGCCCCACACGCACTCACGTTGCTGTCCTTGCCTGAGAGCACGCACTCTTCGATGCGCTGTGGGGACGCAGCCCAGTGGATCTGCCAGAGACATGAGGCTCAAGGGCTGTCCCAGCTGGGCGGGACCCCCAGCACCCTCATCCCCCACACCCTGCTTCCTTACGATGAGGGGCTCGCGGTTGATGTCGTGCAGGTCCAGGGACAGCACGTAGTCCTTGCTGCCCACATACATGCGGTCCTGGTCCTCGTCCTTGAGCAGGATTCTGTAGTCGGTGGTGTTGAGCAGGAAGTTGAAGAAGTGGGCAGTCCCTGTGGCCTTCAGCTCTGCCAAAGACAGAGAGCAGGGCACCACACTTAGGGCGCTCAGGGACCACCTGCCTACAAGCTCTCTTTGACAGACGGGCACCAAGCCCTCCCGGAGGCCCCACCCCGGCCCCTGGCCGGCCCAGTGGGACCCACTGTGGCCCCTTTCCAGCCCCTGCCCAGGCCGGGTGGGGAGAGAAAGTGGGGCGTGGGGGACGGGGGCGGGAGCGAGACCACACTCAAAACTACAGCCCTGATTCACCACAGCCCAGCCAGTCCCTGAGTCCCAAGGGAAGGGCGGTGGGGGCCACCACGGGACACCATCAAAGGATTGAAGCTCAGGGGGGTTAGCGCTCCCACGCTCAGGGCGGGGCCAGCTTCCCAGGGGTTAAAAGGGTTAATAAACCGGTGGGGTGGCAAGAGGCCAGGTGTAGCCAGGGCAGCCGCAGTCACTGGCATGGGGCCCCACTGCCCTGTCTTCACCCCAACGGCACCCGCCCTGGCTGAGCGCAAAGACTTTGGCACAGAGCAGGCTCCCTACCATGGGGCACTGGGGGCCCCCCCGTGGAGCCGCCTACTTCCTCTTGACCTGGGGAGGGGCTCAGGACCCGCAGGCCTGTGCAGAGTCCCCACAGCGGGGGGCAGGTCCAGCTGGGCCCCCTGCTTTCTCTGCTGGACCTGCTTCCTCTAAGTCCTGTGTCTGCGGGGAAGGAGGGAGCAGGGCTTCCCCCAGCAGGCTTCCTGGGGTCCTGGGTCTGGTAGGTGAAGGGGATGCAGAGGGTTCCCCCGCTGGCAACCCCTTCTCTGCCCGCAGTTATTCTTAGTTCAGCAGGGGAGGGAGGCCTGTAATGAAGGCGATGAATATTCACAAGCAGGGGTGGCTGGGGATGGCAGTGCAGGAAACTGTGCGTGCGC